ATATGGACATGCACATTCTATAGCGTTGGAATTTGTCCAACTAGTTTTTCGTCAAACAATTTTTTGTCGTCAAACAATAAAAAACAATTTCGAATTCCAATTTCTAAAAAACATAAAAAATGCGTGAGAATACGAATTACTTCGTTGACATTATGTGCGTTAATTTTTATTATTTTTCATACCTTCAGTAAACCCAGTAAACAGTATTTTCGTTAATAGTGAAATGTTGTCATAATTGCATGATCAACCTTATGCATGCATTACATCAGCCGATTATTTTCCCTAATGGCCTGCTTGATGGCAACTTAGTATTTACTTCTTGCAGCATAGTTAGTTCGCACTCGAGAGTATCTTAAAACGGTGAAATGGAATGTATGATATGAAGTGAAAATCTTGCAGAAATTCGAGCGTAGATCCTTTTACGGCACTTCCATCCACGTAGATGCATTCGGATAATCATTGAGCTGAAGATTTAGCCGGTGATAGCAATATATGTAAGTTGTTTAAAAATATTTTCTTTATGTATAAGAAGATATTGTGACCGATATTTTTCGCCACCATTTGTCTGCCTATAGAAATAATGATCTAGTTTTTTTTTCAATAAAAACGATCAAAAATGGAAGCTGAATCATGCGTGTCCGTGTTGAAAGACACGACTACTAAATAAAGCGATATTAATCTTTAGGAAATCGACAAATTCTCAGCGGGTGGGTCCTTGTAGACTAAATCCTACAAAGTGTGTGTCTGACGTAGTAATGGTCATCTAAGAGTGTCCATAGATTGGTAATTTTGAGCAACCTGATTTAAATTAAACCTTTCACATGGATCCAAATCGGCAATAGTCCATAAGGGTGAAGCTAAAAATTGTCAAGAAAAGCAACGATAAAAAGGCTGTGAGAAAAGTGCGCTTTTGGTTGAAATGGATTCCAAATACATTGGTAAGAGCGCTACTGTATGGACAGCTTAATAATTGAAAGTGTCTCCTACATAGATTGGTTTTGCGTAATCGCATTCCATTTAATACGTGATTGATCTGGATTTTCAACGATCTGACACAACAAGGAGGAATGGTAATATTAGTTCTGCTGTTATTGATATACCATCAAAGCGAACGATACCCGATAGTAATTAAATAATTATGATTTTGTCATGCAGACTGTTGCTCATGATCCGTTTCAAATCATCCAAATAAAGACACTCCTTCTTAGGCATGATTTTACACAATTTTAAGACCTGGTCCATTTAATTGCATGGTAGTCGAATAAGGAAAGTGCGACTAGTTTGTCTACATGAACGGGATTTTTTTGATATCACCATGAGTTGGCTGTACAAACGAGCCGCAAATGGTTAAAAAAATCAAGGAAATTTACAAAAATTCCCCAAAGTTCAAAGACTTATGGGGTAACTATGCAGTTGAAATTTTCAGGAAAGTCAGCAGAGAAATACATTTAGACTCAACCTATGCTCAAACGTTTTTATATTTTTCTTTATATCATTTTGGAAAACTTTAAATTATTCAAAGCCTTATTTGTTGTTTTCCAGTTTTTAATTGTATGGCATTAGTTATCTATTCAAATAAAGAACACGCAAAAATTATTGTTGATGGACACAAATTCATCAGAGTTCAACGAAAAATTGCAAATAATTTCGAAGATTCAAGCGTTCAAAAAGCTCGAAGAAGAGAAATTAATCGAAAATATTTAATACAGTTTCATTTGCAATAGGTTGAAGATCAGAAGAAACAGTGGAAACATTTTTCCGAAGACTCAAAGAATTAGAAAAACAAATAGAAAAGCAGGAAAACATTAAGCATTTAGACACTTCAACTTGTACCAGTACTTTATAATAACCTTAAGTCTTTTCATCTGAATGCTTCTAGCGTTCCAGCATTTCAAATTTGCAGCATTTAATTAAAATTTGGTATGCTTTTATTGTACTGCTACTGTCGAAATTACATTTCCCAATTTATACAAATTTACCGCCGTGGCAAAACGTATTTTTTTATTTTCACAACTAAATTCGCCTATAATTTTCTTGTTGAGAAACTTCAGTATATTCTGCTCGATATTTCTAAGTGTTTTGGAAGAAACGCATTTATTTTTTGGTTTAAGAGCATGCAACTAACAAAGTTAAATTCGGCACATGAATAAATACAGTATTTTGTAATAAAAAACCAAAACAGTTATTCTCAATTGGTTGTAAAAACTTCCCCCTAATGATCCCACAATTCACTTTAGTGGGTTACAATTTAAAAAATCTACGTGAAAGTATTATATTTGGTTGAATATTTGCTCCCTTACGATGGCTGACTGACCATTCAAATACAACACATTTGCATTTTAATTTTTATACAAATTTTCCGAGATTGGAATCTCATGGGAAGTGTAACAAGTTACTTAATCCATTCGAACTTAATATTCACATAATGCAAATTATGTTAGTAAGTGCGTTTCAACAGTAGATTTTATGTCTTTATCGCCCAATAACTATTTAAAAAATTAATTGAAACTCCACAAAAACTGTGATTAGATATTTGGATTGGGAGTATTTTTCTCTGAAACGTTTTGTCTTGAGCAATATGCCTTTTATCCTTTACATCTCATGGCATGTTCTTAGCCACAATTAGACTAGAGTGTAAATCCACCCATCGTTATTGAACTTGAAAAAGCTGAATTTGAAACTGAAAGGATCCCTATATATCTGAAAAGAAGGGGTAAATCGGGAACTTTTATTTTTGACTTGGCGCGTGTTGCTCTCAGTCGATATCTGATCTATTTGTTCAACATTCGGTGCAAGTGTGTTGTGTGAAAAAAATGGTTAGATTCATTTATTGTTTGATTTTAACAAGTGTCTTATTTTATTTTGTCTTGAAAGGCAAAGTGAACGTGATGCATAATTAACTTCTTGTGGGTGTGATTTGAGAATCTATGTATTCACGTTATGGAAACTTTTTAAAATTTTAGTCTTGAAGTTTTTCTCTAAACTTTTTCTTGTACCGATGTATTTATAGCAAAACAATTTGGTATAGAAAAAGAAATTAGGCGGAAAAACTTAACTGGATATTCTTGAGATTCTGCTAACTTCAAAGGCAAGAAAAAGGTAGTTTCTTTTAAATATATGAGTCAAAAACTATAAGAATCGAAATTTTTGATTGAATACCGTGGATTGCATAGGACGTAAAATGGAGTAGTACAAGCCTTTCACCCAAAAAATACAGAATTACCGAAAATACATGCGAGAGTTTGGCGTAAAATTGAGCGACTTGAGTTATTTTTTTCCGCTAGTAACAGATGTTTATGTATTTCTCATCCGAATAAGCTGGTTAATTACTCGAATTAAATTTAGTGCATCAGAATTTTCTAACACCTCAAACTGTATAGAGTTTTGTTTTTTGCCGCATTATCGACTTAAACTTTGCGTAGCAAAATATATTTTTCGCTGTTAAAATTCCAAAAAATTATCAGTCTCTTAAAAATTTCATTTAGCTTAGAAAAATTGGATTTTGGAATTTTCTATTGATCCTCTTTTTAGATTAATGCTCTGAATTTATATGAAAAAATTCTAATTTTGCTTCTAAAAACTCTAATTCTAAATGTTGAAAGAATTATTTTCTTTTTTGAGAATATAATTTTATTTAGCGTTCAAAATTAATAGCAAACTATACTATATGCATATTTGGGTATATTGAAACCAGTTTACAGCGTTTACTCGAATATTTCTAAATATAATTATAAACGCTTTTTTAAGCAATGAGGTGCGGCCCTAAAAAACGGGCCGATTTTATGATCGAACTTACTTCCGTTACCGATTAGCATTTTTGGTCTAGAATCCCGTCATCAAGGTTTGATTTGCTTCGGAATCCAAGTATAAAAAATGGAAAATGTTGTTTGAAACTAATTATTAGATATCATTGTGGCTATTAAACTGGAAACCAGTTTCAACAGATTTTAGAAAAGCTGTTTTTATTTCTGTATAGTAGTTCCAAAATAGTAGTAGAGTTTCACGTTCTTGTCCATAATTTACAAACGCTCTTCGTCTATTAAAAAATCGTCTCTTTGTAAAAGTGACGCCTTTGCAGGATCTCAACTTTTCCTTTGGTCTTTTCCTCTACATGCTGATAGTTGCGGCATGAATTAATATCCCTTTAATAAATATTACTACATACCTTCATTCTGTGTTTTTAGCGCTATTTAATGCAAATTTTTAGTTTTTTTTATATTTCTTGATTTGCAACATGACGCTACAATGCTCAGTAAACTAAACAATTGCTTTTTGCACAATAAAACAAAAGGAATTTACGTAGGTCAGATGAAATGATTCCGGGAAAATCCAGACATTTTAGAAGAAAAAATTGTGCAAATGATAGATAATAAATGTGTAATGTAAATGTAAACTGTTTCTGTCTATCTACTACTACTACTACGTTAACGCGGAATAAATAATACAACGACATTTCTTTTCACTTTCATTGGAAGCACACTATGCGAATTTCAAATGATATCATGAATTGCATATTTTATGAACAATTGCAACAGTTTTGTAAACGCGTGTTTTAAATTTAAGCGAATTGTACAGTTTCACTTCGATATTACCAAATACACTTTGACGTAGTTATCCAGCTCATATAATAAATGCATAAATATATTTTTTTACTGCGCTAATATAATTAGTTTCATTTTAATAAATACTAAGTAAGTATTTTTTAAGCCACATAATCATCTATCAGTCGCAGTTGCAGCCATTCAATGTATAAGTGAATTAAATAATGCCGCCTCATGTATTAACTTTACTTAAATTATGTAAATTATTTTTGATTATACATGCAAAGTACACATAAACAAAGCAATTTAGATCCTGATCACTTTTAACTATTATGATAACGAGGAATTACTGTCGGTAATATTCATTTAAAGCTGCTATTACTTCCATGTGAATAGATTTGCAAGATTTTCCGAAAATTTCGGGCAATTTACGTGGTTTTTAAGCAAAATAAAGCTTCTGTTGCATGCTACATTGGATTAAAGAAAAAAGTAAAAAATGTCTTTGGTAGAACTTTTTGCGTTGAATTCAATAAACTAGCACTCGTTGTCATAGTCAACTTGATTTACGAGATAAAAATAAACTTATGTTTTTTTAAATGATAATCATAGTTGGTTGTGGGCCTTTTAAAATCCTTATTTTTTTCTGAATTTAACGATATAACTGTTTGTATGTTTTTCTCCTTTTGTTGCCGTAAAACTTCAAAAGAAGATAAAAAATGTGTTGTAGCCTATGGAAACAAGAACTATATTATCACACAAAGCACAAAACAAAAATGAAATAATTAACATACACAATCATGTTTATTGGGCTAATGAAAATCATCATCTAATTGAAAATAGGCGGGATCAACGTGTTTTTTTTTGGCATTTTTAGTGATAAAATTATTGGTCCATTCTTTTATAATCACAATTTAAATATGGGAAGATATTTACACTTTTTACCAAATGAACTTGAAGACATGTTGAATAGTTTTCCGTTAGCATCGTATCGAAAATTGGCATATTTTCAACATGATAGTGCACCTTCACACAACTCACGAGTTGAATGTGAAGATGCCAAAAAATGCCTGGACGTAAACGGAAATCAATTTGAACATTTAATTTAAACGATTGATTATTGTTTTGTGCTTTGTGTGATATGGTTCTTGTTTCCATAGCCTACTACACATTTTTTTATCTTCTTTTGAAGTTTTACGGCAACAAAAGGAGAAAAACATACAAACAATTATATCGGTAAATTCAGAAAAAAATAAGGATTTTAAAAGGCCTACAGCCAACTATGATTACCATTTAAAAAACCATAAGTTTATTTTTTATCTCGTAAATCAAGTTGACTAGGATAACGAGTGCTAGTTTATTGGATTCAACGCAAAAAGTTGTACTAATGGTGAATTTTAACTTTTTTTCTAAGTTAAGCAGTTTACGTAATAAGTGATAATTTAAAAATTGTTGATTTCTTGTCTTTTCAGGATATTTCAGGAACCAAGTCGGGTACCTAAATTTTGAAGACGGTAATGAATAGGCAATCGAATTCTGCCTAATTTTGCCCATTTAACGAATTCTCTATCTTTAAAAATGTAGAAGTTACTCATACAAAGATTCAGAAAATGGCCACCCTGTATATGCAATTGACAAAAGCACAAAGTATACAAAAATTAGACTTAGTAGAAGCAAGTAAACACGAATTCAATTGGATGTAAAAATAATAATTAATAATTAAAGTCAAACCAATTAATTTTGTTAAATGTGCACAAAGTTTTACAATGGGTTTCTGTTGCAGAACTTTCAAAGGTCTTCTATTTTGCAGATAATTCGAAAATAAAAAATAATTTAGTGGTACTTTTGCTTGAATGTAAGAGAATTTAAGAGCTGCACACTTGACCTACGTTTCCGCATACAAATTACGCTGTCAGCAATTATATTTCAACAGGGAAATTTTACAAAAAATTAATACCTACATTCAGCAACTTACCGCTTAAGCGAGACTAAAAGCGAAAGGTACCACTAACTAGTTGAATTAGGTTTACGCATTTTTCACTTTTTACCTAATGCGATTTGAACAACATTTCAAATCGATATTTCCTGAAAGATTTTGAACGGCAATAATCAATCATTCAAGACAATATTTAAGTGCAATATGCCTACTTGAAAAAATCTTCGTTTGCTAACAGAATCTTGGACGGTTTTTAAAATGTTCACTTCTGGTCATAGACCTTTTTGAGAGATGGTCTTTTCCTCATCCGGCTTGATGAACACCAGAAGAAACGAACTTGTATTTTTAGCTAAAGCTAAAGAGGGTACAAAACATTTTTATACTGTATACAATTTCAATTATTCGAAATTCCGAACCTTTAAAAAGGTTCTTTTCAATACATCACCTGGAAAAGGCTCTTTCCTTCATTAGACTTTATTAAAAATTTCTAACTGGAAAGTAAATTTAAGTGGCGCTTTTTAAAAATCTAAGCTTTTCTGAAGAAGTTTCAGCAAATTTTCAACCGTTAATAAGCCCGACTTTGTCCGCTTTTAATGCAAAATGATGCTTTCCGCATATCAAAGAACCGTAAACTAGTTAATTTCGTAAAGTTTAATCAAACAGATATTCAAAGTGTTAGTTTTTATATAAACGGTGATATTGGACGACGGCTTGCACTGTAATTGGTCAATAACCAGCAGTTATTTCAAAGAAGTTAATAACATATTGATCAAAGATTTCTCCTTGAGGGCAGCCAATTAGATACATACACTTAAAAATGCCTAAATCCTAACTAGATGTGTCTTAATAGGGCATGTGAAGCAATTTAGCTGAAATTGCCCGCCATGACCTAAGCTTGCAGGCGGGATTTTGATCTAATTTTCGATAAATAATTGAGCTTATCTCTAAATCATGATTCAAAGGAAAGCAGGATATATAATAAGTCGATACGTAAACTTTTACGATCTGAAGGTTAAAATTCCTAAGAACAATAATGGTTTTAAAGACTTATATTTATATTAAAGTGGGTTGTTGCAATCCTCAACTCGAAGCCACAATAGGTCATATATTTACGAACTCAAAAACTCATTTATCCTTCAGTTGTGTACAATTTTTTATTTATTTGTTTATTTTTATTTATTAGAGTGTCATATCAAGATTCTTCTTGTGGCTTTGCCTGACTTTCATAGTAACAAATTGCACTTGCCAGCAATTGTTGCCTTCTGGAAGCTATCAGCAGGATGTTTCATTTCCTGGGATTTCTGGCCAGGTAAAATTTTCCCCGTGCTAAAAAATTTTATGTTCAGATCCAATTTTTGTAGTTTCAGGTCACCACTGCCAATGATCGACAGCCATTTCGTCAAGTTGCTGCAGGATTTCACTTAAATCGCCCGCCGTTGTTGCCTTTCCAGCAGCTATTTCCATTTAATAAGCTTTTATCCGTTGGGCAAAATGTTTTGAAAAGTGGGCACTTCGTGCCTAATGGCTTCTACAACTTTCCTCGGAGTCCTCTCTTTATCCCCAACACATTAAAGCAGAGACCAGAAAGCAACGGGCAAGAGGCAGAATATAGGTGAGAGTTAATGTAAAGTGTTTCTTGTCCTCCGATCCATTATTTCTCTCTATATCCTAAACGATTCCACATGAATAAATTTTAATGTTGCAGAAAATACCTGGAAGAAGCGGAAAATTTAGAAAAAGAAAAACAAGGCAACAATATAACAACAGATTTTGGGGACTTAGAAGTAGATCCGATAGAAACAACATCGTTGAGTCCCAACCAAAGAACGTTTGTCAGAGTAAATGTACAAGGAAACGACTACAGTTATTCCACCTAAACTAGACAAGATAAATAATCTGTAAATCATGTATAAAAACAAACCAAAAAATAAATTAAGGGCATTGGTATTATAGAAACATCAGGGATATGTGGAACCAAATTTGTACATGCTTTAAGTGGTTTGGTATGGATATTATATGCTGAGGAAAATATTTGCCATAGAAACATAGAAAATAAACGATATTTATATGAAATTTAAATATATATTTCTACTAATGTGGAATTCAATTTAAGAAAATATATTTTTGATATTAAACAGGGAATACGTAATGAATCACGAGTACATTTGTCGTTTCCCAGCCTTATAGTTTTCTATTAAGACTTTCGAGGATTGAAAATGTCCACAAACAAGTCGAATAATTAGTTCAATATGAGACCGTCAATTAAACAATCGCGTCTAAAGACGTCGGCTATTCATATTGGTGAGACGTGTACAAAAAAATATCATGGGCTTAAAGCTAAAAGTGATAAAATATAAATTTATGGTAAATGCACTTTTAAACCGAGCCGATAATTATATGAAAATCCTTTTGGAAACTCTGTTATTAAAAACATATTTTAGTGCATCTATTTATCTATTTGTGTGGCCTCGTCAGTTTTTCAAGACAAATATATAATTTTTTAAAACTATCTATTTGGTCAACCAAACGCAAATACGGATTTTTTTGGACTGTTTAGCTTTAAGCCCACGTTATTTTAAATACACGAAATTTTCAACAGTTACGCACGTTGAAGTGTAATTATCCCTTATATAAATCCCTCAAATTTCCTGTTTGTGATTCGCATCAAATTTTATATAAAGTTCGAAAAAAACGTTTCTGTCACTAAGAAAGTAATGTTTCCTAGCTTATAGCATTTAATCGATATGCCTCAAACACTTCACTTAGAATCATCTCATTAGAGAAGCAACAGAAAACCTGATGATTCCCAAAACTATAATAAAATTTGGACAATAAAACAAGCATCGTTCATCTGTACCAATTATATTGTCAGATATAAAATTAAAACAAAAACTTTATTACTCGAAAAGTTCGTTTAGCAAAATAACAATGAAAGAAAAACAACGAATTATTTCGGTTTAAACATAATTTAATAAAAGTACTGGAGGAAAATATAAATATACTAAAAATTTACAGGTTTTTGACAGCGTTTTAAAGGCCAAATTATAATGAAGAAGGGGATTTTAGCAACCCTCACCACGTCGGGGCCCCGGAAACCTCTACTTTGAAACGAACTTATGAGGAATAGGAGTAATTTAGATGTATATACTACAACTAGGAAGATACTTATACGCATGTATTTATGTTAAAGTATAAAAAATGTTACAGTTTGCAATGTACATGTTCTTGCCCTTTCCAGCTAATAATCGTCGAATTGCTCAGGCGTGTTAAGACAAACCTTAAATTGCGCTAAATATTCCACATTATTTTACCACCTTTTACAGCAGGATACACAGGTAAACATAAGAAACCAGCAAAAACTCATTACTTAGTACTGAATTACCTTTTAAACAATTTGAAAATGTATATTTAACACAAACAGAGATTGACGCATTATATCAACACACAGCCGGTCAAAAGTTCGTCTTTCGATATTGAAACACAATCGGGTGTTATGATGACGGCAAATGTGTTTGTAACTGTGATTGTGATAATATAATGTCAGATCAAACTGCCTAAGTTCTAATTAATGATACACGTAAATCAGTATGTTATTTGATATGAAACATTGCCGAGATTCTTGAGACGTAAAAGCGGCTTCATTGACAATAAGGAAAACTGTGTTGCAACCCAAAACTAAAATTTTATGTTAGCATCTAATTTAATTAGGCTAAGACAGAAAAATATTTGTTCCACAATTGAAAAAAAAACATAAAAAGTAGCAGTCGAGGTAGTCGAACGTAAAAGGAATTCCTAAAAGACTATTGATGTAGAGTCTTTGAAAAACAATAATTATTCTAGAGCTAGCTGAACCACAATGGCTACATTATTAATTTAACTAACAATATTGTATTTTCCCATGATAATAAATGTGAAGTTCTAAGCCAACGGTTATCTAAAGGCAAATCCGGGACCCTGGCCTGTCTATACAGCGGGGAAAAAATTTATGAAGAATGCATTAATTGAACACTACACTGTAGAACCATTTCCACTCTGTAGACTCTGAAGGCCAGGAACAAAAATTCAAACGGTCGCTTAGAATCACAATATATTGAAAAAGCCTACTAAAAATAACAAGAAAACTGTTTTTGTTGAAATTATTGTGGTGAAAGGACGATGAGGGCACAAGTCCGCGATCGCAAATAGAGACTGACGTTGAAAGGCTGGTCCATCCCCTTGATGTTGATAACTGTGTTGTAGAATTAAATAAGTTTTGCTTTTTGTTTTGTATCATCTAATTAGGTGTAGTGCTGATTTGGGGGCCTGGCCATCACATAGCATATTTGCGAGTCCACTCGCGCGCTAATTCATTGTATTTTTCGCGGTCTGTTTTGTATATCCTAGCAATTTCTGGAACTAATGGATCGTCTGGGTTTGGATCACACAAAAGCGAACAGATTGACAACAGTACTAGAAAAGAAAGTTCAATAAAATTAAATCTCAAATATCTACAACACAATTCTACTTTACTTTAATATATTTACTATACCAATTAACGACGAGTAGTCATCAGTATCATCAGTTTACTGTTAATTTTTATCTGCGCCTGGTACCCTATGCTGCAATGGAAGCATGTTGACATGATTCCATTCCATGCTAACATGATTCCGTTGCGTGCATTCCGATTCACACATATTTTCCATACATCGCAAAAAAATCGATTGAAACACAAGAAAACCATAAAACGAAAATTGAATTAACTTGAAAAGTAAAAACAATGAAACAGCCGGCTTAAACTGCAGCAATTCAAACAATTTAGACGAATTAAGAATTGTACAATTCATGTTGAGATTGCGTTTATTATCACCATAGCGAATATTCGGCGCAATTGCGATTTCTTTAACTTAACCATTAACAAATGATAATGGTTGTAAGCGATAAAACGTTAGCACTTCGAACCGAATGTTCCCACATAATGATTCCGTTCTAATTAGATATTAATTTTGCAGTGATTAAATATTACTCATTTTCTTCCTTCTCTCCCTCCTTAAGATTATGCCCAATTCTACCATAAATATTAAAAGAAAATACCCAATCGACCCATAATTTTACTTCTTGAATAATAAGAATATAATAAAACGACACTTAAGGACATCATTATTACATTAATAACAAAAGAGATCACTTTGGTTAATCAAGAACGTGCAAGTCACTTAAACCTGCGAAAATTGAAAGTAAACTATTCGAGCAGTTATCGTAAAGAATGACGTACTACGAATTATATTCAAGTGATTGTTTTATCAAATTCCATAGCGCCGAATGAAAACAGTAAACTGCACTTAAATAATTTATAGATGTTTGAATCATTGATGGTTAATTTTCATAACTATACGAGGGCAGACCCGATTGGTTTTAAATTTTTGCCATTTTAAACACAAACGTTATATATTTTCGGTTAATGTAATGAAGAAGCTAATGCGTAAAATGCACGCATTTAAAAGATGTTTTAGGATTGTTGTCACCAAGAGAGATGACCTAATTTTTTAAAGAATTGGTTAAATGGAAATAATAAATACTATTTACTAATAGCAGTGTAATCTACCACTGGAGTATCACTCACTGATATTTTGCATTTAAAGACACATTTCTTTGATGACACGTTTTTTTTTCTCCGCAGTGTAATTATGAATACGATTACGAAAGTTCCTTCATGATTAATTCAACTGTGCATCCGGGTATATTGTCAATACGTTATTGATAACAATTATGCATGTTCGAAGCTGCTGCATTCATAATGGCTTCAGTTGAATATTTAATTAAATAAAAAAAACATAAATATAATTTTGATTGGAAATATGTATAGGTCTTTGAGCTCAATTTGTGCTATTTAAACTAACACTCTTACGTAGACTAACCGCCGTATGCACCGCCAAGCTACCTAATCGCGATCAACTAAACGCGTTTAAAAGTTAATCCGGTTTAAGAACCCAGCTGGTATGCACCGTTGAAATTCAGCCGCGGATTAGTTAATCCTTGTACGGATATGGCAACCGTGTTCTAGTGACTCGCGTTATCAACTTTTACCCGGTGTTCCAATCAGAGATGCCAGGTCTACCGATTTGTCAAGGAACCTACCGATACCATGCAGACTTCTACCGAAAAGTAACAAATAAAAGTTGAAAAAATTTACGTGGATTACTTAAAATAATATAACATATTTCCATTCATATTCAAAGTACGTTGGTAATAGCAGACATTTTATTTTAGCACACCTCGTATTTTAGAGTTCTTTTTCAAACATAAAATGAATCAAGCCCGCCATATAGAT